AGATTATCGATTTTTATACAATTCTAAAATTTGTCATTTTCAATTTTGCGAGTCAATTTACATAAATTGCTATAAAAAAAAAAAACTGTTGCGAAACACTTACGGCAACGTTTAAAAAACGTAGCTGTAAGTGTCTTTCGCAATGTTTAAAAAACATTGTTAAAAGTCTTTCACAACATTTAAACGTTGTTGTATCCTTCCGCTCTACTGCAACATTGAGGTTTGCAACATACATCCAAACGTTGCAAAAGGTCTTCAGCAACATTTTTTGAACGTTACAAAAAGGCTGTTTTTGTTGTAGTGAATAATGGTAGAATGCATTGCTGTTGTTAACTAGTTTACAATAAATTTATGTAGAACAATTTATATAATAAGAAACTTTTCTCCAGTTCATGATGAAATGCCTTTTAGTCCCTTTGGGGACATCTGATAAAAACAATGCAGAAAAAATTAGCTTTTGCCTTGCAAAGGATGACATGAATCGAAGAATGGTGAAATACATTTTAAGTGTGTTTGAGCCACATTATTTTGAAAAAATATATTTTGAAATAGTAGATTGATGGAGAATGTATGGTTAAAAATGAAAAAAATATTGAATTTGCGCGTAATATTATTTTATTGAAGAATATGTGGTTGAAATGAAGTCAAATCATTATTTAAGAATGTATTTTTTTGAAAGTGCGGCTCAAACAAAACCTAAATATTTTTAGCTTATAAACATTTCCTTTTTTTTTTAATTATTATTTTTAAATGGGAAAATTTCACATATATAAGAGATTGATTATGGGCCATTTATATTAAGATCACGATTCTATTACTATTTGATCACAAATTATCGAATTAATTGATTACAAATTATTTCTCGATCACGAATTAAAAATTTTATAGGTCACAAATTATTTTATTATCATAAATCAAATAATTTATAGGTCACAATTTATTTATCGGTTTCAAATAAAAAAATTTATATGTCACAATTTATTTATCGATCATAAATCATAAATTTTATAAGCTATGACTTAAATTTTTAGATCATATATTATTTATTGGTCGCAAGTTATCGTTACATTGTTCACAATCCCAAATAATTGATCACATAAATCAGAATTTAACCAATTTTGTGTTCACAATCAATCAAATAATTAGTCACAAACCCCACCCCATGCTATCCCACCCACAACCACCCCACCACTGCTACGACCGCTACCATCACCTCACCATCATAGCCAACATCACAACCACAACAAATTAACAAATTTATTGGTATCAATTACCTAATAATTGGTTCTTCACCACTACCACCACCTATTGCACCACTATCATCACATGGCACACGACTTCAAGCCGTTGCATAGAGATGCTGCAATGTGGTTGCCATGCACAGTGGTGTGAGCGCCACTTCGAATGCTGTTTGACCGTGATCTTCTGGTGACGATCTTTCTGTGATGATAAGAATAGAGAAAGAAGGAAGAGAGGTCTTCCGGCATCGACAATTGCGTGCTGTGTGAGAGAGGGAAGAGGGGAGATGAAGAATGAGGAAGAATGAGAAAGAAAATGTTAGGGTTTGGTTTGAATTTCGTAGGTTGGATGGAATTGTGTGTAGTGAATATTTTATAATATTAATATCAATTGTTGAATTATTATTTGATTTATGAATGGGTAAACCTTATATCTTGTTTTTGAATTACAATATTTAATAATCTTTCATGGTGTAATTTTCATGGGTAAACCCTCAAATTATCATTTAGTGCGAAGATTGTTATTACGCCGTGTTATAGAGAGTAAAGAGATTGTGTGATTATAACATAACATATATTTAATATGTTATGTGATTGTCATAAATTACTTTGTGTGATTGTGAAATAGAGGTTGTGTATATATGACAATTATTCATAAGTATGTGATAATATTTTGTGACTTCATGTCTTTTTGAATGTGACCTAAAACATGTATTATTGAAAATTATGAAATGATAGGGTTCATTTTGAACATGAGATGAAAACATTGAATTTGATGTCAATAAGGATGATTGATCCCTTGATTTTATGATTTTAAAATCCGTTGAAGACGTTATTAACCTTCAAATTCAGAATCACTTACTAAACCGATATTATATTTTAAAATCATGGTTTCGCTTATTTTTCTCATCTTTCAATTTATACTTTGTTGGGGAACGTTAATTTTTCTAAATTTCTTTATATATTAATATGTATTAATTGTTTTAAGTGTGATTTATTTATACTTTTTGAAAAGTTATGGGGCCTAGTTTGAAAATTTTTCCATTTTTTTTTTGTTTTAATGCTTTTTTAAGGAAAAAAAATTATTTAAGGAGAAGGAAAAATCCAATATTTAGCATCTGTTTGTGTGGCATTTTCAGGAGGGGAAAAAAAAAAAGAGAAATTGGACCGTTGAAGCACAAGTCAAGCTGCAACTTTTGACTGATTATCTCTAACGTGGATCCCACCTGCAGCTTCAACGGTCAAAAAAATTCTATTAATTTCCTTCAAAATGTGGCACAAATAGGGGCTTAATGCCCAAAATGAAGGGAAGGACGAGTTTCGATACATAATTGAAAGATTTGGGGATGAATTATGCTAAAAGTAAACGTTGAGGCTAGATCTTTACATTTTACAAAATATGAGGATGAAAATTGCAAATTCCCCAAATATATTATAAAGAATATATTCTTTTGACGTTTCAAATGCAGGAGAAGGGGAAAGAATCTCTACTGCAAAAAGAAGGGTTTAAGTTCATGACAGGAAAAAGCGTAGCTTTGGTTGAGTACTGATTCCCCCCATTCCCAATAGGCATTGGTGTCTCGAAGAAGATTTGCATGAACAATAATTACTTTTCACCCCCTTTAGGAATTTATTCAATTATAATAATATATTAGTACATAAAGGTTAAATATTCTCTTCTGATTTTGAATATAATACCTCATAATTCACTAGTGGGACAATCTTTAAAATTTATATTAAGTAGATTATTCTCAATTTCTTGTTCTCCAATAATTGATTTATAATAACATTTTCAAATTAGATATATATATTTAAAAAAAAAAAAACTTTTTTGCTGTAATATCTTCATCAAAACATCTTAAAAGACAAGACTAATAGTTGTTGTCAATCAAAGGATAAAAAATCTAAAATGGAGCTCAAACATGTCCGAAAAAAATCACCGTAATTTAAATCGGACGTCAATAGTTCATTAAGTCATGAATCTCGTTTAGTCCAAAAAATGAATTCCTTTCCAAATTACTAATTGACCTTTGACCTAGGCAACGTATTGACGATTTGACATTCCTTCTTATGTTACTTTAACATCTTACGCTAACAAAGAGAAAATCACGCAATTTTCTTTAGAGCTTTCATACTAAAAGTACATTAAAAATGTATTTTTCATTAAAAATGAAAATAGCTGATTTATCCTTGTTGCCGTATCAGATATCAGAATAACGTCAAATGGGATTTCACATCATCGATTCTTTGTCTAGATAAGACGTAATAGTAATTTTGGACGGAATTAATTGTCGTGGCTAATAGACTTCGTGACTCAAGTTAATGGTCTATTGAAAATGCTCAGGACGTTTTTTGAACATAATATAAAGTCTGGGAGCTATGCTGGTTTTTCACCCTCAAATCAACAATGTGTAATTCCTAGGCAATAAGTGTTCGACTGCTTTATGTAAGAGGATTGATGTTAAGCAAATGTGGGGTTAAAGCAACCAACAACACATTATGCTTTTCCTCCAGTACTCGTAGTACTAAATACAATCTTTTAATTTCTTTGGTAGAATAAATCTTCATTACAAACCTTTACAACACGGTTTATCTAGGCCTTTATATATAGATATTTGAGGTTACTTTTGATGAATTATAATTAATTTAGTGTATTTATTGTTTATTACATAAAACTCAATGTTCAGAAGTGAAATTGAAAGAAATGTATGAAAATTGGTGAAAAAGGAGAATTTTCAAAGTTTAGAGACTAAATTACAAAGATTAAAAAATTGATTCTGACCATGAAATAATGATTACAGATCATACGAGATCAATGGGATGCAATTAGATATCAAAAGATGGAGATTGCTCGTGAAAAAAGGACTTAAGTGGAACAATGTAGCATAATCAGGGACCAAAATGCACACCCTACATAGTTTACTACGCTGTGCGAACGCAACGCTCGACCACTACAACATGCGACATACCCTGAGGATATGATAAATACACCGTATTGTTAACTATATTCCAGACAATAAATTAACAACAATTCGATATATTTTACATTTTTAATTTTATTCAATGATATTCATTCTAATATATAAACATGTTAATTTATTAACATCATAGCACTTTCAAAGAAATTGCATATATTGCTGACATTTGAAGGTAAAATCAACTTTAACAAGGAATCTGAAAACTTCATGTCTAATTAACTGAAAGCAAATTAAAGAGAAATAACAATGCCATTCTTGCATTTTCTGCATCCCACCAGCTGGAAGGATTTATTTTGAAACTTATTTTTTAATCTATTATTTCCAAAATACAAAAGAGGTTAAGACTCATTTGATAGGACTTATATTTCTGAATCTCAAAAATAATCTTTCGAAAATCCTGTCAAACATGTCCTAATTATATTAATCTCAATATTCTTGATTTGCTCGTGTGCGACTAAAATTTGATCTGATTGGAAGTATAAGCACTAGATTCCGATCTCGTCTTGTGTAGAACTTGACATCGTGATCGGACCATAACAATTCGACCAACTTGAAAAAGTTAAGAATGTTAATTTGTATAGCATCTGAACTTATTCCCTTCATTTTTGGTGCACCTTTATCATGTACCCATAAAGAGCTTTAATCAAGAACTCAATTAAGTAAAGAATAGAAAAAGTTGGAAGATGCCCTACATATTCACAACATCCACATGCAATTTGCTTTAATGACTCCCATTTATCACCATAGAAAGAGGCTCATAATTGATTGAACTTTGCTATTTGCACACTGATTTTTGACACTTTGGTTGATACTTGTATTGTTGTCAAGTGTCAATTGGATGTAAAAATCGTTTGATATTTAAACTGTTTAATAAGGTAACGTCATACGACAAAGTGTAAACTAAAATGTACATGTAGCAAGGTTCTAAAAGGTGTCATTCTTTCGTACCTCATGCAAGAAATACAAATGATATCCATCTTACCTTATAAATACTACATTTTCATTCATACGCAAGTCACAACACTGATTAAAGAAGAAAATTAAAATTAAAATTCAATCTAATATAAATCGTCTAGTTCAGTTTCATACTACCAAAAATACAAATGATCTAGAGTGACGGCAATAACTAAGAAGGAAAAAAGTACTATCTATTTCAATTAAACTCACACGTGGTTGTATATTTTATTAACAATGAAAATTAAAATAGAACAAAATTTAGATGTGAGAGAGCATCTAAATTAAAGATACAAAAATAGAAACTTTCTCATTAGTTTAAGGCAAAAAAAAAAAAAAAAAAAAAAAATAATAATAATAATAAAAAATACAACTTTCTCATATAGAGAAGGATAGTACAATGTAAAAATGACTTCAAGCTAAAGGTGTAAGAATATGTACGTGAACTTTAGATGCCATCGTTGAATACCTAACGCAAGAAATATAAATGATATTCTAACTTACCCTATAAAAACTTCATTTTCATTCTCTTCATGCTTTCCCTTTCTATGCCCAGTTCTATTTGTTTTTCCTGTGTTCTATACTACTGAAATCCAAATTATGGTAGTTTTAATGTATAAGTGGAACTGCATATTTCTTATGATTCTTATCTTCCATTTCTCAGCAACTGCAACTTTTTCTTCCAAGGTCGATGATGACCCGTTGGTGGCGCCGGCGGTGGCAAAGGTCCCTGAAGTGAGCATAAAGTGTGGGGAATGCCCTTGTGGTAATCCATGCAACCAGCAGCTTCCTTCTCTTTCACCACCACCACCTCCGCCGCCTCCAAAAAATCAATATTGTGCCACTCCTCCAACTCCGCCACCACCGAGATTCATTTACGTGACGGGGCAAATGCCGCCACCACCATCACGGTTCATATATACGACTGGACCTCCTGGGAACTTGTATCGAACTGATCCATTTAATTTGCAGATATATTCTAGTGCAGCACATAATAATGTACTTGTAGGTTTGCTTCTTTTTGTTGCATGTGGAATAATGGAATTTTTAGTATTTTTGTGAAGGGAAAGCCCTTTTATGTTTTAGAATTTCCTCAATGAAAGTCCTTCCGCCGGAAATGGTTTATTTTATTATCTAGTGAATTGGGTCAACTTTGAACTCCAATTAATTTGAATGGGACCCGTACGGGACGTAATGTTTCATACTAAATAGTACTGTTTGTTCAAATTTGGAAACTATCCGAATAGTGATGACTATTCTCAAAAGGTTTGAACAATATTCGAATGATTATGAACAAGTCTATAAATTGTTTGTCCCACTACCAGAATAATTACATAATTTTTATTACAAACTTTCTCTGTTTTGAATTTCATTCCCTCTCTCATTCTGCATATTTAGCCCCCGTTTGGCCACCATTTTTTGTAATGAAAATGGGGGGAATAGTGTTTTGTTGAAAAAATGAGTGGTTGAAAAAGAAGAAATTTTTTTCGATTTATGTGTAATATTATTTTATGAAAGATTGTGTGGTTGAAAATATGAGAGAGAAAAATAAAATGTAATAAAATGTAATTTAATGGGGATCAAACATGGGCTTAGTTTTAAATTCACAAATCCATCCATCTTTTAAATTAACACCATCCCAATGTAAAGCAGCCACTTCAGTGAAATTGGCCTTTTGGAAGAAATGTTGCTCATATTTAATCCAATAAATACACATCTTGGAGGACTTAACCGATCCCACGCCAAATTATCCGTTAGTTTTTAACAATTAAATCAATTTTCAAACCATTAATAACTTTAGTAATTACTAGGATGAGAAAAATACTGTAAACTAATTTAAAATTTTGCACAAGCTTCATTGACAATTAGTTAAAGAATAATGCTATTCTACCAGATTTTGTATAGATTACTCACAATGGGGTGGGTGCCATCCAATTAAAAATGGCCAAAATAATGTGTACACACAGGCTTACACCCCTCACATGGAGGGGGTCCACATGTAATAAAATATTCGTGGACCCCCCTCCTTGTGAGGGGGTGTAAAGCTTTGTGTACACCAATATTTTTTCAAAATAATAGCACATCCACTTGCATGTGAGTGGTAGGTTGGGGGTTCTGTGGACCCCACCGTGGTAGAATGGCACAATCCTTAGTTAAATTAACATAAAAGAAAGAGATCAAGAATGAGTTGGTTCTTATCTGGTTCGGTTATATAACTACATTGAATCCTTTGGTTCCTTGGTTTTATGTATATAATTTCTATTCATGGTTCAGTGCCGTTCTCATCATAACTGGACTGAAAGGGACCAATCTGACAAAATTCACTCATTGGCAATTTTTATTTTTATTGTTATCTAAAACCAATTTCATTTTTTTCAGTAGTTTCACTTTTCATTTTGTTGCGGAAGCTCTTTGAAATCTCGATTTCCGGCTTAGAAAACTTACCAAACGAACATCAATAAAGGAGGCTCCGACCCGCAACTTTCTAAACTTGGTTGCCACAAGTTTATTCACCCATGAAGGGTACACTTGATAGTGGTGATTTGCAAACTACAAAGACAAAATAAAATTAAATAAATAAATAAAAAATATGGCGAATAGAAAAGGCAGTCACCGATATTTGCTTCAAGCACATAACACTTTTCTCTCATTTTCACAAGCACACATTCACTCAAAATGTGTATATATATATATATATATATATATAGCATTAGTTAGGTCACTACAATTAGGCTTACGTGGGCTGCCATTTAAAGACCACAACTAACCGAGAATAAATGAGCCAATACATATCACTATCCAATTAATAACCACAACTTGGGCCATCCACAAAGTGTTGGGCCATGAGGAGATTAACTTAAGTGGAGTTACATTACCTCAAATGTTTAAAGATTACAATTCAAAAATCAGGGATGAAATTTTGTTATTCACAAATTAGTTATCAAAACACACTTCACCCACTCATCTATCAAAACCCTAATTCATTTCAATAAGTCTGTCTCTCTCTCTCTCTCTCTCTCCCCCCCTATTCTCCCTACATCTCACTTTCTTTCTCTTCAAATGCCGACGATTGATGATGAAGGATCTATCCAGTTGACGCTGTTGGCATCGGGGGCTACTGAGAGTTCTCAACAGCATCTTCGACCGATGTTGTTGCGAACGGTAGTATTGTAACGCTGCAGTCTATCGATGCTACTGTTAGCAGCAACATCGTCTTACCTTTGAGAGTCACTACGAGGCCTCACTTGATGTGAGAGTTGACAGCGACATCGCCCTCACCACTACTACAGTTCGGTAGGCTATGGAAACATGCTTCTTTTGATGTCCTAACTTTCCAAACCAGTTTTGGGTGATTTTAGGGTGGTTTGGGAGATATGAGATGGTGGTGTAGAGAATGTAAGATTAGTGGTGACAATGGGTCGAGCCGGCCTTAACCTCACGAGCTCGGCTTGCGCTTGTGGCGAGCCGAGTCACGTTGAATTTGGGCGAGCTCGGCTCGAGGGCTTGTCCCCATATATATATATATATATATATATATATATATATTAAAAGAAAAATACAAATAAATGAAATCATGTAATGAAAGCACTTTTAAAAAATATAAAAAGTGTTAAAAAGTACAAATAATTTAATGAAGACACTTTTTATTTATATCATATTGTAATATTTTTTATAAAGTATAAAATATTTATATAATGAAGACGAATTATTTTTTGAAATACATTTACAAAAAATATATTTTTTTGATTTCTTTTTAAAGTAGATAAAATGTAAATACTTCTCCTTTATCCAGGTTTGAGACCGACTACATCAATTTTAAGTAGGCGGAGTTAAAAATTGTACATGAACAACTTGTTGTAACGTGTACAATTTTTTAAAGAAAATTAAATTTAAAGATTAAAAAATAAATAGATTTTGATTAATATAATAAAATCAAATATCACTTACCTGACGACATGTAATTTCAGCGTATTTATCTTGTAGTCGAAAATGAGTGTTCTGCCAATTTTTCACGCACATTAACGCTTCCAAAACATCTTTTTTCAGTCAGCTCCTGACATCGCTCAAAATCTTTTTACCTAGACTAAAAGCAGACTCCGAAGTAACAGTGCTAACCGGAGGTGTCAGTAGATCTTTCATAATTGCAGAAACGATTGGCCAACGTCTTTCATACTTTCGCCAGAATTTAATTACTTCTTTCGAACTTTTTTTAATTGCTCTGTTTGTTGGCATATTATGATTGAAGTAATCAATTAATTCGGCAGGCATCACATTTTGAGTTTCGACCGATATTTGATAAGATGTAAATGTAGACGACATGACACTAGTTGAACACATTGTAGTTGCATCATATCTAAATGTATTAATGCCTTGAAATAAATTCATTATTTCAGCATCATCTTTTTCAATTTCAGAAGAAGGAGTAGGTGCAGAGGGTACCCGACTAACATTCACACCCATTCTTTCCGCATATAAATCATACATTCCACATAATATTTGCTCTAAATTCTTATAGGTGATAGGTATATCAAGTATTAAAACTTTATTGATTTGATCAATTATGTATTTAGTTCTCGAAATATTATATCGGGGGTTCATTGCGCATGTTCAAGGAAATAACATAGGCAGTTCTTCCCAATATTTTCTAAACTTTAATTCCATATCAATTATAATTTCACTAAAAGCAGGATCATTTTTATATTTATGGAATGTTCTTGCAATTATATAAACGCATTCAAGCACTATACAACTTGTGAGATAATAAACGCAGGATAAAATCTTTGTGGTCTCATAAAAAGATGTCGAAAATCGTTTAAATTTCAAAGCTAAAATCCAATCAGATTCATTTAACATACCATCGTTATCAATTATAACATGTCTATTGTTATAAAAGTCAGTTATTAAATTTTCGAAACCTTCAAATGACCTTAATAACAAGTAAGTAGAGTTCCATCTATGACCTACGTCACTAACAAATGTTTTAGCAGTTGTCACCCCTAGTTCGGCACAAAAATCTTCAAATGCTTGTTTTCTACTAGGAGAAATCGTAATATATACTAATGCATTTCTAATTCTTTGAAGTTCATCCTTTATATATTTTAAGCCATCTTGCACAATTAAATTGAAGATGTGATACACACAATGAATATGAAACAAATATCCACCAAAATCAGGTTGAAGTGTCCTACACAATTTATCGACTATTATCTTATTAACACTAGTATTATCAAAAGTAAAAGACCTAATTTTAGTCTTGCAATTATATTCTCTAACAATATTGATAATAGCAATATGTATATTATTAGCATTGTGAAGAAACTCAACAATTCTAAAAGTAATAATTTTCTTATGCATGCACCAAAGTGGGTCTATATAGTGTGCAGTTGCAACTATATATGCTCTTTTATTAACACCTTCCCATATATCAGAAGTTAAAGATATAATACTCCCATATTATTGCAAATCCATAATTAATTGTTGTTTTGAATTATTGAAATATTGTATTGTATCAACACGAAGAGTGTTTCAACTTACCCCCAACGTATCTCGATTGCAGATATTCTTTCACGAACGAGACGAAGTGTTGGTTGTTTGCAATAGCCAGAGACAACTCAATGGCGGTAACAAATTTCACCATTTTGGTTCAAGTATTGTCCTCCGAATACACCCACATGGATATGGGTGAAGTCGTAGAACCGACGTCTAGACTATCAAATTGCAATTGTGTTTGACTAGCTAGAAGAAGTCCATGTCTGGCCGCACATACTTTGTAGTGACGATTGAAATGAGTGGTACCAATTTCTTTTTGCCGTGCCAATCTTTGTTGGCAGTATTTACATACTGCTTTAGATTATGCAAGGTCATCGACGACTTTTTTCGTTAAAATCAATTTAAAGTGATCCCAACATTTTACTTATTTTTTACCCTTTCGCTTTTTTCTCGCATCTGGGATGTTTAATTCGACATCTTTGTCCTTATGTTCTGCTTCGGGAAAGTTAATATTATCCAAATCAATTGAATTGTGGCTTCCCTGACCATGAATGTGAACATCTTCAGGTATGGTATGTCATTTAGACCGGTAAATTCATTTGAAAATTGACTTTGCGACGTCCTAGGCGATTCGCCATGATGTGGCCCGCATCCCGTATCGAATAAGTTCTCAACAAATGAGCGTTGATCTATTTGTTTGATTGTTTATGATGAAATCCAAATATAATAACTAGAAAAATATAAATGTAATGAGATTGTGAGAATTGAGAATTGGATGAATTGAAATTCTAACTAATAAACTATAAAAATTGAATTGATATTGTATATTTTACAGCACAAGAGAGTAAAAACTCGATAATTGATATAATAAAAGCGAGTTGAGAGAGTTGGAGTAGATTGAGTAATTGATATTAAAAAAAAACAAAGGGAGGGGGGGGGGGGGAAAGGGGGGGTTTTTG